GATGAGCTCCCTCTATTAGCTCCAGCTCCCCATGCGGGGACATGAGAGAAGCCTCCCACAAGGATGATAAAACATCAAAATCATCTGGGAGTCCCCTGGGCAACGTCCTTGCAGACGGCCAATTCTCTCACAACAGGATGCTCCTGACACGACAAAAAAAAAGTGAATAATTAACACTATTTATCCCTGTTGGGTAAGATGATGTGAATTTCTGCATGTTTTTGATTAATTTTACACTTTGATACTCTTTCTGAAAAGAAAGCTGTTTTCAACCCAAAGTTGCCTTTAGACATAAAGCAAGATTTTGTGGGGAAAGTGAGATATTTCATGCAAAACTGTATTGTTTTCTGAGCAAAGCTTTTTTGCACCTTTTCTTTTTGACAAACTTGCCCCGCTCCCTCCTCTGAACTTGAAAAAAATTCTCATGGCAATTTATTATTTCCATTATATGATCTCCATCAATATACTTTTCTTATGAGAAAATATGCAAGTTTTCTTTTTATTCCTACTATGAAGAATAATTTTGTCAGTGAACAGTTTTAGATGAAGCCAAGTTCCACTGTCATTGCAGAATAAGAGGATAGATTGAAATCTATCCACTTTCCTCATACTATAATAACTTGATCAGCAAGCCAGCCAGGCTGAACACAGCCGATTGAAAATAGAAAATACAGTGATTTATGCAATATGGAAGACACCACATGGGGGCAGCAACACTCAAATATTGATGTCTCTTTGGATGATGTTTTGATATATTAATACTTCATATTTCTTCCAGAATGATACTTTCTCATAGAAAAAAGCTAATTTAGAGTCAGTTTTTAAAAGCAATTTAAAACATTCATTTAAACCTTAGGAAAAGGTAAAGGTTTCCCCATTAAGTCTAGTCGTGTCTGAATCTGGGGTGGTGGTGCTCATCTCCATTTCTAAGCCAAAGAGCCAGCATTGTCCATAGACACCTCCAAAGTCCATGCATGACTGCATGGAGCACCATTATCTTCCCACCAAAGCGGTACCTATTGAACTCACATTTGCATGTTGCTAGGTTGGCAGAAGCTGGGTCTAACAGTAGGAGCTTACCCTGCTCCCTGGATTTAAACCACCAACCTTTCAGTCAGTAAGTTCAGCAGGTCAGTGGTTTAACCCGCTGTGCTGCAATGGGGCCCAAACCTTAGGACAGACATCTTTATTGTAGGAACTGCTCAACAGTGAATAAATTGGCTTAAAATAGATATGAACTTTTTCTAGCAGGAGGTCTTCAAACAGATGTTATTGATAGACATCTTTTGGAAATGCTTTAGTATGTTAGTTTAGGAGTGCTGTAACAGCTCTGACCATCAAGAAGGTGTCCCTAGATGAATTCTCTTTTCCTCCAGTGTCTGAAGCAGCAAAAACCAAGTTTACTCCATCTTTAATATTTCAAATACACTACAATGCCACCTCTTAGCTGTTTCTTCTCCAGGATAAACACAACCAGCTCCCTAAACTGCTCTTCATAGGGAATGGTTTCTATTATTTCTATGAATCACATTCACTTTAGCTGGTGCTAACTGGAAGCAGTGAATCTTAGGACTTCATCCCATGTAGTTTTCTCTCCGTCTTCTCTCTTTTCCACCCCATTGCCGAAACAGAATCCCACAGAGGCCATCACATGACCCAAAACTACTTCTGATGGTTGCCCATGGGACTACATTGTGGCAGCACAGGGAAATGGAAGAAAGACTGCATTTTCAGGACTCTGATGCTTCCCAACTCCCAATGACATAAGAGAGAGGGAAATCAAATAGAAGCAGGGAAAGGTAGCGAAAGGACACTGGGTGGCTACCATCCCTGAAGATGGAAAGGCACAGTAGGGAATGAAAGAAGCCAGTTCCTGCCATTTCCCCCCACTTTTCCTGCTTGCATGTGATGAGGTCCTCAGTGTGAAGCAACAAAGATGTTCCAAGGACACAAGACTCCCAGTTTACGTTACTACCTAAAGCTGACATCTTCCAACTCTGGGCCTCCAGCCATTTGGGCCTCTAATTCCCAGAAACCCTAGCCAGTTTGTTCAATGGTCAGGCATTCTGGAAGTTAGAGGCCCAAACATCTGGAGGTCCAGAGTTTGAGGATGCCTGACCTAAAGCACTTTTAGACTAAAGTGGTCCTCAAAATGATGGTCACCCTATGGTGTTGATCCCTGAGCCATTGGCTGCTAGTCCCTGGCAAGTTTCCAGGAAGGAAGGAAACACAATTGTATACAATGGACAAAAAATTACTGTATAATAATAATAATAATAATAATCTTTATTTATATTATATCCTATCTCCCTGGAGGGATACCAAAAAACCATTGCTAGTCCCTCATGTCAAATGATGTAAGTAGTATATGTTTTTCAAAGGTCAATTCAGGCCATTCTCTTTTTTTAAGCATAATAATAATCAAGAATCTTTTTTTCTTTCCTGTTTCTCTTTGTTTCTGAAGGAGATGAAGGTCAGAAAGGAGATCCGGGAGATATGGGAAAACAAGGAAAACTTGGCCCAATGGGACCCAAAGGTAAAGAAGCATGTAATTGTTTGCTTTCCTATATGTGCATACAGACAATTGCTGAAATCGGCATTGTTATATTTCTTACCCTTCAAAATATTGACAGATTGTTTTCAACCTTTTTTTAAAAAAAACAAAAAAACTGTATTTAATTTATTTTTAAGGTGCACATTAGTTTGTCAATATAGAATCATAGAATCATAGAATCATAGAATCAAAGAGTTGGAAGAGACCTCATGGGCCATCCAGTCCAACCCCCTGCCAAGAAGCAGGAATATTGCATTCAAATCACCCTGACAGATGGCCATCCAGCCTCTGTTTAAAAGCTTCCAAAGAAGGAGCCTCCACCACACTCCAGGGCAGAGAGTTCCACTGCTGAACGGCTCTCACAGTCAGGAAGTTCTTCCTAATGTTCATATGGAATCTCCTTTCTTGTAGTTTGAAGCCATTGTTCCGCGTCCTAGTCTCCACGAAGCAGAAAACAAGCTTGCTCCCTCCTCCCTGTGGCTTCCTCTCACACATTTATACATGGCTATCATATCTCCTCTCAGTCTTCTCTTCTTCAGGCTAAACATGCCCAGCTCTTTAAGCGCTCCTCATAGGGCTTGTTCTCCAACCCTTGATCATTTTAGTCGCCCTCCTCTGGACACATTCCAGCTTGTCAATATCTCTCTTGAATTGTGGTGCCCAGAATTGGACACAATATTCCAGGTGTGGTCTAACCAAGGCGAATAGAGGGGTAGCATGACTTCCCTAGATCTAGACACTATGCTCCTGTTGATGCAGGCCAAAATACCATTGGCTTTTTTTGCCGCCACATCACATTGTTGGCTCATGTTTAACTTGTTGTCCACGAGGACTCCAAGATCTTTTTCACACGTACTGCTCTCGAGCCAGGCGTCACCCATTCTGTATCTTTACATTTCATTTTTTCTGCCAAAGTGGAGTATCTTGCATTTGTCACTGTTGAACTTCATTTTGTTAGTTTTGGCCCATCTCTCTAATCTGTCAAGATCGTTTTGAATTCTGCTCCTGTCCTCTGGACTATTGGCTATCCCTCCCAATTTGGTGTCGTCTGCAAACTTGATGATCATGCCTTCTATCCCTTCATCTAAGTCATTAATAAAGATGTTGAACAGGACCGGGCCCAGGACGGAACCCTGCGGCACTCCACTTGTCACTTCTTTCCAAGATGAAGAGGAAGCATTAGTGAGCACTCTCTGTGTTCGTCCACTTAACCAATTACAGATCCACCTCACCGTAGTTTTGCCTAGCCCACATTGGACTAGTTTCCTTGCCAGAAGGTCATGGGGAACCTTGTCGAAGGCCTTACTGAAATCCAGGTACGCTACATCCACGGCATTCCCCGCATCTACCCAGCTTGTAGCTCTATCGAAGAAAGAGATCAGATTAGTCTGGCATGACTTGTTTTTGATAAATCCATGTTGACTATTAGCGATGACTCCATTTGTTTCTAAGTGTTTGCAGACCGCTTCCTTAACAATCTTTTCCAGAATCTTGCCCGGTATCGACGTGAGGCTGACTGGACGGTAGTTGTTTGGGTCATCCTTTTTTCCCTTCTTGAAGATTGGGACCACATTGGCCCTCCTCCAATCTGCTGGAACTTCTCCCGTTCTCCAAGAACTCTCAAAGATGGATTGCCAATGGTTCCGAAATGACTTCCGCTAGTTCCTTCAATACTCTGGGGTGTAGTTGATCTGGCCCTGGGGACTTGAACTCATTAAGAGCGGCCAGGTATTCCTGGACGACTTCTTTCCCAATTTGGGGTTGGATGTCCTCCAATCCCTCATGCACTCCATCTTGCTGAGGTTGAAGACTCTCTTTTTGTGAGAAGACCGAGGCAAAGAAGGCATTAAGTAGTTCTGCCTTTTCCCTATCCCCTGTCAGCATTGCCCCATCTTCTCCTCGAAGAGGTCCTATCGCCTCCTTGTTTTTCCTTTTTCTACTGACGTAAGAATAGAAGCCCTTTTTATTGTTTTTAATGTCCCTGGCAAGTCTGAGCTCGTTTTTTGCTTTAGCCTTGCGGACCTTTTCCCTACAGGTGTTGGCTATTTGTTTGAATTCTTCTTTGGTGATTTCTCCCTTTTTCCACTTCTTGTGCGTGTCTCTTTTGTGTCTTAGCACAGTTAGAAGTTCTTTGGACATCCATTCTGGCTTCTTTGCACTTGTCCTATTTTTTCTCTTTGTTGGCACGGTTTGCAATTGCGCCTTGAGTATTTCACTCTTGAGAAATTCCCATCCATCCGTAACTCCCTTGTCTTTTAGTATCTGTGTCCACGGAATGCTGCTCAGCGTTTCCTTCATTTTTTGGAAATCAGCTCTCCTAAAGTCCAAAATGCGGGTTTGACTTGTCTTAGTTTCGGCCTTCCTTTGTACCTCAAATTGCAGGAGCACATGGTCACTTGCCCCTAAGGATCCTACCCCTTCGACCGCATCGATCAGGTCCTCCGCATTTGTTAGGATGAGATCAAGAGTAGCCAATCCCCTTGTTGCCTCTTCTACCTTCTGGACCATGAAATTGTCTGCAAGGCAAGCGAGGAATTTGTTGGACCTTGTACTCTTGGCCGAGTTTGTTTTCCAGCAAATATCGGGATAGTTGAAATCGCCCATGACTACTACATCTCTTCTCTGTGCCTGTTTGGTCAACTGTTGGCAGAAGACTTCATCAAGTTCTTCCTCCTGGCTTGGGGGTCTGTAGTAGATGCCTACAACGACATCTTTTTGAGTCCCAGTTCCCTTGATTCTTATCCAGATGATTTCAAGCTGGTTTCCCAGATTGCTGTCTTGAATCTCTTCTGCAGCATAAGAGTTTTTGACATATAAGGCTACTCCGCCTCCTCTTCCCTTTGTTCGGTTTCTGTGAAAGAGGTTATACCCCTCGATATCTACATTCCAGCGATAGGAGTCATCCCACCAGGTTTCAGTGATCCCTATGATATCATATTTGTGGTGTTGTGCTAAAAGTTGGAGTTCGTCTTGTTTATTTCCCATGCTCTGTGCATTAGTGTAAAGACATGTGAGCCCCTGAGATCTTCCCTTGAGCTGTTTAATTGGGATTATTGTGCTTTTGGTACTTGGTCCTTGTTGTGTTTGTGCAGCCCTCCGTTTACCCTTCTGGCGATTCCCAGACATTATGGGTAAAGTAGTGTTCGCAAGGCTGTTGTCCCCCTCCCCCGGTGGACCTAGTTTAAAGTGCTCTAATGAGGTTTGCGAGTCTGTGAGCAAAAAGGTGTTTTCCTACTTGTGTGAGATGCACCCCATCCCTTGCCAGTAGGCCATCCTCCTGGAAAAGCAGGCCATGGTCGAGGAAGCCAAAGCGTTCCTCCTGACACCATTTTCTAAGCCAGTTATTGACCTGTACTATTTTTCTGGCTCTTGTGGGTCCGTGTCTTACAACAGGGAGGAGGGATGAAAAGACCACCTGTACATTACATTCTTTTAGCTTTGTTCCTAGAGCTCGAAAATCATTTGTGATCTTTTGAAAAGTATGCCTAGCAGTATCATTGGTTCCTACATGAATCAACATGAGGGGAGGACGGTGATAGGGCTTGAGGAGCCTGGTGAGCCTCTGAGTGATATGGTGTATTTTTGCCCCCGGTAGGCAGCATATTTCTCGAGCCATCCCATCCGGTCTGGAAATGACAGCTTCCGTTCCTCTAAGGAGGGAGTCGCCTACTACCAAGACCTGTTTACTTTCGGGAATGACAGGGCCCCTTTTGTGCAATGTAGTATGAGCAAACTCAGCAGCCTTCATAATTCATTTTTCATCTGTCAGTTCTTCAGTGCATCTCCAAGTTTGAGAAACCATTATCTTTGCAGTTGTTATCATATAGCAAAGAAGTCGTCGATCTTTACTATCAAATGATTTATTGATAATACCCTGCAAAAACATTTCTGGGGACATGGGAAAATCTGTCTTTATTTTTTTAATTAACATGTAAATTTTATCCAATAGCTTTTTGCCTCCCTAAATGTCCTTGCAAGTCCACCACATATGAATAAAAGGACCTTTTCCTGACAGCACCAATATTGGTTTGATACTCTTGCAGACATCTTTGACATCTTATTTGGAATTAGTCACGAACTGCACATTCTCTTCTACATGTTTTTTTTTAAATTTGTTATGAAAAGTAAATGTAATATCTTTAGTCCACATTTTCCCATGAACATTTGAACATTATACCCAAAGTTTTGGACCCAATTTATTATGATATATTTTATTGGTTTATCTTCTGTTTCTATTTTCAAAAGATATTTGCACACTTTTTAAACTGTATGATTGTCATCCTTACACAATTACAAGTAAAATTCATTTTCTCTAGGCTTTTGGCTGGATCTTTCTTAAAGTTGAATAAATCTCTCTTTAAATTGCATGTACGAGAACAATTAAGATGTATGCTCTCTTTGAGACTCCACCTACATTGCCATATAGAATCCAGATTATCTGTTTTGAACTGAATTATATGGCAGTGTGGACTCATATAATCCAGTTCAAAGCAGATAATCTGGATTATCTGCTTTAATAATCTAAATTATATGCCAGTGAAGATTGAGCCTGAGAAGCATCTCACTTTATTTAAGCACTCAAGTATTATTTTCCAAATATAAAAGATCATAAAAATTAACCATCTGATTTTTAATCAATTATTTTATTTTAAGACCTTCTTGCAATGAGATAATTAGGATTGTTTTAAAGAAAAAAAGTTTTTTGATTTAAGCTATACTCTCTGAAGAGCAGTTCTAATCGACAGATTTTTTAATGTGAGTTTACTTTATCCAACCGGAACTAACCATGCCACCCAAATTTTAGATCATGACCTTTAAATTTCAAAAATCTCTAATCTCTAATCTCTAATGAAATAATGAGCCTTGCAGTACACTCTTGTTCTTTGTGATTATAACACCCAAATATGTAGAAGCAGATATGTTTAAAAAAAAAAAAGCTTTAAGAAGTAGAGTGACAAAGAGTTAACTGGGACTCTCCCGGTGAAATCAGGATAATTGGAGAGCATGTAATAAAGAAGCAATGTGTTATTTACTAGAGTAAAATGTAGCAAAATAAGTTTTAAAGGTCTTTTAAAATACTGCATATTTTACTAATAGCCTCAAAGATCATTGTGCCAGCTGCCTATGTATTTCAAAGTAAAATTTCATGGCAAAAAGCTTCATGCTTCCGCCAGCAAATGGTTGTATGAATTCTGTCCATACTTTTACAATGGCCTACATGTTTTAAGCTTTTAATCAATAACATTTTATGACTGAACTGCATCCAATATACTGCTGTTATTTTTGAAAATTAAACAAATACCTCGTGTGGATTTGCCTTATTTTGGAAAAAAATATTTGTTCTACACAAGAGGAGAATGAATGAGCCAAAAAGGAACAATTGTTTGCTGCATAGTTTTATTGGCTCTTAAAAAAATATAACTGTAAACTTCTACAAAATTAAAACTGCTAGATAGCTTAGCCAGCTGGTTTCTTTCAGTAAGTGATGCCAAGGGAAGATGCTGGGCGCATGTGTTGCAAACATGTGGGAGCAGAACTAATTGCTGCAAAATACACAAAGCTGCCACTGGGGTATGTGTATCTGAAAACAAAAAAGGAATCCAAACATTGACCATATGACACTTCTGCTTTTATATGGTTGATGGCCCATCATAGAGACAATTTGAGGACAACTGTGGAGCTTCATTATTTGAGGAGCCTTTCTTCTTAGGCCTCACCAATCTGCTGTTCACACTTTCCATTCTCCCAATTCTATTCAAACACTGGAGTAAAAACAAACAAAAGGTATTCCAGTTCGCACAGCTTGCAATCCTAACAACCCTTATTTTTTGGAGAAGGCCACACACTAACTCAAACCAGTTCTTCTAAAATTGAATAAAGTAAAGTAGATTGACATCCTAGCTTTGTTGTTGTGTTCCTTCAAGTCATTTCCAAATCAGGGCAACCCTGATCAGGGGGGTTTTCATGCCAAGCAGGAAATCAAAACTTTACCTCCAGAATTGTAATTCAAAGATCAAATTACCACACTCGCTCATTAACTCTTCAGAGTGCTGCCAGATATCTTTTTTCCCATCTTTTTCCCTGTCTATACTTACTAAGCTTAAGAACCTTGGATAGGACTTTTCTCCTTAGTAAGGAGAGAACTACACTTTCTGTGAAATTTTGCTGTGCACTTTAAACTGGGCACAAACATGTCACTGAAACAGAAAAAATGCATTACATACACAACTGTTGTTTACTTGTACATGTGATTTGCCTTTATATTCCTGTAATATATAGTCCAATAGATACTATTTCAGGGGATGCATCAACATTGTAGAATTAATGCACCTTGGCACTATCATGGCTCAATACTATGGAATCTGGGGATTTGTAGTTCAGTGGGGCGCTCTTTGGCAGAGAGGGCTAAAGATCTTCTAAAACTCCAACACCCGTAATTCTATAGCATCAATCCATGACAATTAAAAGTGGTATCAAACTGCATTAATTTTACCTTGAGGATACACCCAGAGAATGCTAAGTGTACTCTCTATTTCTTTCTTTTTGGCTGGGTCCCCACTTTTGTTTTCATGTCAAGAGCTACTTGAGAAACTCCAAGTCGCTTCTGGTGTGAGAGAATTGGCAGTCTGCAAGGACGTTGCCTAGGGGATGCCTGGATGTTTTGATGTTTTACCATCCTTGTGGGAGGCATCTCTCATGTCCCCACATGGGGAGTTGGAGCTAACATAGGCAGCTCATCCACACTCTCCCCGGATTTGAACCTCTGATCTGTCGGTCTTCAGTCCTGCTGGCACGAGAGTTTAAACCATTGTGCCACTGGGGGTTACTGGGTCCCCACTAATAAAGTGGGTTTGAAAACATCTTTGCATGCACACTAAGAATACACTGTTCTTTCGCTCTGTTTCCTTCTATATGGAGGTCCTTGGTCCATCACTGTGACAGGCATTGTGCTAACCATCAGTGAAGTACCAAGAACAACATAAAGGGAGCTGAGGATTAATTCAGTCCCTTTAAAAAACAATTCTGCATCATCCTCAAAAAGAATGTTTCAGAGACAAAAAATATGATGCCTTCAGGCATCTCAATCAGGAGCTTTTAGTTAAGCAAACAAGCAGTGAGATGTCACTCTATTTTCTTGGGCGACACTGTAGGAGCAACCATCTGCTACCAGTCGGCACAATACCTCCAACGGCACCCAATCAAAAACCATTGCTCTTCAAAAGTGAATCCAATCTGTTGGACTAGGCTGTCAAAACATATGTGAAACCTACTGAAATGCTGGGAAAAGAGAACTAAACAAGCACAATTTTAACAGCCAGAAGCTTACAGATGGCCACAGCATTGGATTGTCCAAGAACAGAGATAGTGAGCTTTGCAACAATGGCACTGGAGTTGGGTTCTGCTCCCCCCCCCCTTTCCAGAGGACTTCTGTACCTTATATAACTATCTGAAAGCCTGTATCAAAATCTTTTCCCCATTATTCCATTGGATTTGTGTGCCTTTGAGCCCATTTGACTATCAGTGCTATGACTTTTTCCATCACCCCACCAGAAAAGGATATGATCTGTCAACTGTCCATGTTGATGGAGCTTTTAATCCCATTTGAGTCTGAAATATCTATCCAAGATACCAAGCCCTATCTGAACATACTGTCTTAAATATCTCCTCTAATGCTGAGACTAAAACTAAGCATAGACTCATCATCGCACTGGCATTGAAGCCAGAATCTGCCATTGCCTGTTGAATATCTGCCCACCACAAAGCTTTCAAAAGAACAACAGCTTACAGAGCTGAATAAAATCTCACATTTTCTGTTTTGAACTAGAATATATGGCAATGTGGACTCAGATAACCCAATTCAAAGCAGATATTGTGGGATTTTCCACCTTGATATTCTGGGTTATATGGCTCTGTGGAAGGGCGCTTGGATGAACCAATGGCACCTCTGTTTCTCAGTAATCACCTACTGATCATATCTAGCTCCATGTTACGATCTCTCTACTGTGCAAAAGAAATGTTGCTATCTATCCATCTGAAGTAGTAATATGTGTATGTCTAAGTGTCTGAATGTTACTAACTGACTTAGTGCCTCCATGAATTCTATAGTATTATAATAGTCAGGAATAAGAAGTAGTTTTGCCAGTTTCTACCTCTGAAATAAAGCTTACAGTATTCATTTGCTGGTCTCCAAGTACTAGCCAGTGTTGACTCTGCTTACTCTTTAAGATCAGATAGGATCTGTTATTATTAGGCTATTTAGGTCCACACACTGGCAATACAGTGTGCAATTTTTGCATTTGTGGCCATATGCACAGGTTTCTCTGAACCTACGTTCACATATACACTTACAAGCAGAACCTAGTAAACTTACTCTTCTCGACTATATATTCCAGAAGTTAGCATGGAAGTTGCAGTTCAGCAAAGGAACTTCTATAAGTTTAATATATGAAGAAAAACTTCAGATGAATTGCTTATAGATATGGCAAAATAGCATTCTGAAACAGTATATGTGTATGTATATATATATATCTCACTTTTATACTGCTTTTCTCATCCCAGGGGGGACTCAACGCGGTTCCCAACACAATTATGGCAAAATTCAATGCCTCATATACAGAAACCTAACATAACGATAATAACATACAATTATCAATTAATTAATAAAACATGACATCATTTAACATTATAACTTGAAAATAAAAACATGTTAATATTAAACAATTAAAATCACACCATCCAACATAATAAAACAGGTACTCTTTTGAATTCTCTTTCTTTTCCAGGAGACAAGGGAGCAGTTGGTAGCAATGGTGACCAAGGAATGATGGGTAAAGTTGGACCAATTGGCAGAAAAGGTGTGTTTTCTTTTAATCTTCTGTCAAGCCTTTTGAACATATTATATGGCCCAGAACACAACATGAAAGAGCTGCTATTTTTGCTTCTCAAATGAAACAGATGGCTTTTATTTCCAGACAAAAAAGCTACTAGGATTTAGATTTGAGCTGGTGCCTCCTACCTGTGGTGAGTAGAACTAATGCCTTGTGACTAACCAGGCATTTCCTACACAGGTTTTATAAAATGTCATCACAGCATCATCATTGTTGCAAAGGTTTTAGTGAATTAAAACTCATTTTATCAAGCAAAAATATAGACATTGGCCCTTTCCACACAGTTGAATAAAATCCCACATTTTCTGCTTTGAACTGGGTTATATGGCAGTGTGGACACAGATAACCCAGTTCAAAGAAGACAATGTGGGATTTTCCACCTTGATATTCTAGGTTATAAGGCTGTGTGGAAGGGCCCATTGCCTCAAGAAAAGGAGGTAAAGACAGGTCACCAAACTGAAGTGATGTCAAACTGCACTAATTCCACAGTATAGATCAGTGTTTCTCAACCCCTTAATCCAGTTCCTCATGTTGTGTTGACCCCCAACCATAAAATTATTTTTGTTGCTACTTCATAACTGAAACTTTGCTACTCTTATGAATTGTAATCTAAATATCTAATATGCCGGATGTATTTACATTCCCTGGACCACATTTGGCACAAATACCCAATAAGCCCAAATTTGAATACTGGTGGGGATTGGGGGGGGGTTGATTTTGTCATTTGGGAGTTGTATTTGCTGGGATTTATAGTTCACCAACAATCAAAAAGCATTCTGAAATCCACAAACAATAGAATTGAACCAAACTTGGCACACAGAACTCCCATGACCAACAGAAAATACTGGAAGGGTTTGGTGGGCATTAACCTTAAGTTTTGGAGTTGTAGTTCACCTACATCCAGAGAGCACTGGGGATTCAAACAATGATGGATGTGGACCAAACTTGGTACGAATACTCAATATGCCCAAATGTGAACACTGGTGAAACCCAGTAATGACAGAATTGGGCCAAACTTCCCACACAGAACCCCATGACCAACAAAAAAATACTGTGTTTTCTGATGGTCTTTGGCAACCCCTCTGACACTCCCTCGCGACCCCCCCCCCCCCCAGGGATATTGCCCCCAGGTTGAGAAACGCTGGTGTAGATGGACTTCAAGACTACGATTGTCCACTCACCACCACCCAATGATTCCAATCAAATTCTCCTATAGCAGCTATTGTTTTAAAATATGTAGTAAAAAACCTAAATTTTAAAAAATGCAGATGCAAGCCAACATTTTGGCCTTTCAAAATGTGGCACTTAATGCTTGCAAAATCTCTTTGGTAGGAAACAATAGAAACATCACATGAAATGCTTTTGTGCTCTGCATGCGACTATACTTCTCTCTCTCTCTCTCTCTCTCTCACACACACACACACACACAATTTCTCTCTCTCATATTATCAGTCAGCGAACTTACAAGCTCTTATCCATCTCCAATGTTTGCTGGTCATCCATGCAAGAAGGAAGTACCAGTCACCATCTAACCTCAAAGCCTCTGAGCCTTTAATGGTTCAGCTATTAAAACATGAAGCTCCCTCCACTAAAACAAAAGCTTGGCAGGGCGGCTCTACAAACACGTAATCAGAAACAAGTCCCACTTTGTGCTTAGCAAAATTTACTTGCCTGTGAGTATTTCCAGGGTCGGCTGAAGTATTTGATTTGGCAACTTGGTGCATCTCTCAGATCCACTCAGCAAAGGTTGCTCAATTGAGCCAATGTGTTTGCCACTATTTGTATTTCCTGATATAAAGACACACGTCTTCTCCTTTTATTCAGGTGACAAAGGACTGAAAGGTTTTTCGGGTGTCTCTGGAGGAAAGGGCAAAGCAGGTACAATTTGCTTCCCATTATATTCCCTAAACAATTGGAATATTTTAAGTGAAAGATGATAGCTTCCACAGAATGGTTTTCCCAGGAATTATGGAACAGAAGGGATATGTTATCTTGACAGTGGATCCAAACTTAGGCCTCTTCCACATAGCTGTATAAAATCCACATTATTATTATTATTATTATTATTATTATTATTATTATTATTATTTCATATAATAATAATGCTTGGAAGCACCCCTGGAAGCAGGGGGGGGGGGTCTCAGGGTGGCTTCACAAGAAGCACTTGTTTTAGTACAAATCATATCACATTAAATCATTACAATTGCTGCTTCTATTGTTCAAACGCTTGGTCCCATAACCAGGTTTTAAGTTTCTTTCTAAAAGACAGGAGGGAGGGTGCCAGTTTGATGTCACTGGGAAGGGAGTTCTACAGGTGGGGGGCCACCATTAAGAAGGCCCTGTCACCACCAGTCACATTTGCGATGGTGGTGGGACCAAGAGCAGGGCCCTTCCAGCTGATCTTAAACTTTATGATGGCATTGAACTGGATTATGTGGCAGTGTGGACACAGATAACTCAGTTCAAAGCAGATATTGCGGATTATCTACCTTGATATTCTGGGTTATATGGCTGTGTGGAAGAGCCCTTAGAAAATGATTTTTCGGACTACAGTTCTCAAGAACTACTACCCAACATGGCAACTGGTTTTCCAGTACAACTCTATGGTCTATTCTAGTAGAAGCTAACCATAGAATTGCATTGGAGGGCCAAGAAATGCCTAGAGAAGTGTTCTCTCTAAAAATCTCTAGGTCCTCCAGCATGAGTGGGAGGGGGTAACCATAAACTCACATTGGAGAACCAAGAGATTCCCAGAGAGAACATGTTAATCTTAAATCAAATCCATAAAAGTCAAAATCACAAATGTAGAGGAATGAGTGTATAGTCCTATCTCTTAGCTATCATGCAGTACCAGTTGCTATTTATGCAGTCACAGTGTATAAAGTGGCACATTGAAGACCCCAATGAATAGCTATGCACCATCCAAGAATGTGCAGCTGCATGGCTGGATGCCTGTTAATCCCAACAAGACAAAAACCATTGAATGGTAAGTCAACATGTGGGTGAATCCAGCTGATTCAGTGGCTTTACTTTAGTTGGGACTAGCAATCATATTTAGACCACGTGAAATGCTACTTATGCAGCAAAAAAAAAAAAAACCAAAACCCCACATGTATATGTGGCTGATACAAAATGAATTCCAGCAATTGTTTGTGCAGAGATTTAGCTGATGTTTAGCAAGTTGTTTAGTGCTTGCATGGAAGACCTGGTTGGGCCCAAAAACCCCTTCACCATAGAAAGAACAGGGATTATGAATGAAATATTGCTGGTATGAATATGAGAGGGAAATGAATGGCATATGTCTCAAAACCATTTTTTCTTTCCAAGCAGATAATTTAGGCTATGGGTGGTCAGAGTGGAGGTCCGATTTTAAATAATAAATGGACAATGCAAAACTGAAATAAGCCAAGCCTTAAAACCTGGCACAAATTAAGTTCTGTTTTCTTCTCTCTCAAGACATGGAATGTATTTTTAATCTACTCATTTTTTGTAATGTTTGTAACTTTTCTTGTTTAACTCCAGAATTTTCTTAAGACATTACAATATGTAAAATAAAGGTGCAGAACTATTAAAACAGAGTTAAATATAATAAAATGCACTGTCAATAAATTCAATATCAAAACAGGCTCTTAAACAATAAGCAAAAATCTTCTACGTCTCCTATAGAAATGATACCATGGCTATCACAAAAATTTAAACACATTGAAATGAGCAGCACATTCAGATATACATGGATTTTAATCACTTAATGAAAACCTGAGAGTACATTTCCTTAGGTGTGCCATAAAATGAGCAGTACAACTGATAATAGGTTGAAGGTTTTACTTTACCAATCCTGTGTGGACACTCCCTTTCTTCAGGTGCCTTGAAACACAAAACATGTTTTCTCAAGGTTGCTTTCCTAGTTTGTTGGACTGCAACTCAGCCACCATGGTTTTTGGCCAGTGAAGAAGCACCACAAGACACTTCAAAGGGAGAAACATCTCTAAAATAATGGAACCAGGGAAAAGAAGGTTGAAAGGAAACTTCAAGGAGGCCATTCAAATCTCTCCAATATATTTGGAGATTGCTCAAAACTACAATAGGAGTGCAATTACAATGCATATTTTATGATACCTAGAGTGTAACTACACTGTAGAAATAATACAGTCTGACCCTAACTGCCATGGCAGAATACTATGGAATCCTTGGATTTTTAGTTTGGTTGGGACTCTAGCACTCTTTGACTGAGAAAGCCAAATTCCTTGTAAAACTACAACTCTCATGATTCCATAGCATTCTGCCATGGCAATTAAAGTGGTTTCAAACTGCATTGATTTTACAATCTACATTCATCCCTAGTCTTACTCCATAGACCATTCAGGATCATAGTTACAGGTGCCCTGAACCATATATAATGTGGCACCCCTGGATGCGAAGACAGTGGTTCTCAACCTGATGGGTCCCCAGATGTTTTGGCCTTAAACTCCCAGAAATCCTAACAGCTGGCCAACTGGCTAGAATTTCTGGGTGCTGTGGTCAAATTCTTCCCTCCAAAAGCATTCCTGCTCACACTCTATTCCCTCTCTCACTTTATCAGACAGGGCAACATGGGCAAGCAGGACTGGGAATGAAGCCACAGTTTCTGATTAAACAAAGTACCAGTAGCATTCTACATTTTCTTCCCTAACAGCTTCACCCATTTCATTCCATTAAAAAGTTATTTTTATCTTCCCTATTCCCACAAAGGTTAAAGGAAGCTTGCCTTTACAACACTGACAGATGACAATAAAAGAAGCTAGAAAACACAACACACAGTAGCACAAGACAAAGGTCACACAGAACTATAAATATGTTTTTCCAAAAATAGCTATTACCCAGCCAACTCTGTTGGACATTATTGGAGTGGATATTTTTATTTAGGGTTTTTTTTTCACTTTTGCAGAGGCATTGTGCCCCTAACTTCTATGAATGTGGAGGACCTACTATACTATGAAATATTTCTAGAATATGGGTTTTTCTTCTACCTGCAATATATTATTAAATACTTGGGTGTGTATGTTGCTATTACATTTGTATCAATGTAGGTGCCGTCTGTGACTGTGGCAAATATCGCAAAGTCGTTGGACAACTGGATATTAATGTGGCTCGGCTCAAGAGTTCCATCAAATTTGTAAAGAATGGTATGTTTCATTTCCTATTATGTATAATGGCTATCTATTTCTTCCAGCGTGTTGTTGTTTGTCATAACATATAATCCAAACGTAATAGTAGGCTCTAGGCTAGTAGATTAGGGGAATTAAGAATTTTAAGCCTGAAGGTTAATGATAATATTTCCCTCAGAAGATAGGCAGTATTTCTTAGAGAGTAATGTGTTTACTTTACAAGGTGAGAATCAAGTAGTGTACAGGTATTGCTAGGGAGAAGTTTTTAATTACATGTGTAAATCATTAAATCTGCAAAACTCAAAAGCGTAAAGGTGGAATGTGGTTTTAGTTGTGTTTTTTCCAAATTTGTGAGGGTCCTGTAGCCCTGACCCCAGCAAATGTTGAAAGATGGCTTTAGGGCTTCAAGTATTCCAAAACACCTGAGAACTCTAGGTTAACATTCCCATGCAACACTGAAACTTAATTAGTGACCTTGAACCAGCCACTCTGATCTACAGGGATGTTAGTAAAAAGATATCAGTATAAAAACCATATTTGTTGCCTTAAACTTCTTCAGATAGAAAAGTGGATAACATAAATGTAAACAACAAATAAAATTCCCTCATTGCATCTGAGGTTGCAACTTAGGGAAAGGGTTTAGTTTGCTGGGTGGCATGCTTTCATTTTGACTTAGTGTAATCTTAATATAACGATAATGTTCTTACTGTAACTATTGCAGTTTTTATAATTGCTTGGTTTTATTATTTACAATTGTTGGAAATAGTAGAGTAATTTCTTAAATTCATCTATCTCTCTTTAGCTTCTTGGGATAGAAAAGTAAATAAAATAATTTGGTACTCTTCCATTATCTGGGTGAAGGCCACAAGGGGGCACTAGAAAAAGAAGGATAGTCCATTTTATTTGGGAGGAGGAAAGATGAAGGAGGAAAACCATTTTCACCAATTTTGCTGATTATCCCCCCCCCCCCCTTGCCCCTTTCATAAACAAGGGTTGTTTCCATGATGGCGACATTGGTGGGGGAAATTACAGGAAAACAAGGGGAAATGGTTTAACTCCTTCAACCGACCCTCCCTCTGTAAAGTGGACTATCCTTCTCTGTCTAGTGCCCCCTAGTGCCCTTCACCCAGATAATGGAACAGTGCTTATAATTTTTAATCCAATGATATCTCTGTAATTATAGAATTCAAACCCATGGTTTCACTTGCCACATCCAGGAGGAAATGGTCTCTCTAGGAATTTGCTAGTCTGCTATAGTATGCTTACCCTGGAAGTTAGCATAGAGTTGCCGTTGAGGACCAAGCACATTCCTATCTAGGAATTTCTAGGCTCTCCTGAGTAATTCTATGCTGAGACTGGAAGTCAGGTAGTTTACTAGCATTCAATTGTATCCACAGTTTCAGGTAAAATGTGGTACAAAGTGCTCACGGTAACTAATGAATACCCTGGCCAGTATAAAAGGAAGATTATTATGATAATAAACTATATGAGAAGTAAGTAGTAGATATGTAACTGATGAAAAGCTTAAGGAGATGAATGCATTAAGGCAACGAAAAAGAAAAAAGATAGCTAAATTATTACATATATGTAGACATTCATGCTTCACAACTGACACAATGCATGCATGTTTGTAATCTGTACAAGTATACAAAAATGAATGACAAATCTGACCATAAAAGGATACCAGGTGGAAAAGGGTATTTGCACTTTGGAATAAGGAAGATCTGGTATGTGCTACCTGGAAGAAGCTAATGAGTTTGATCATTCCATGGCTGCTTCCACCTCTAGTTAGGATTCAGCAGTGCCTCAGGTGGCAAAACCAGGGATGCAGTGGAATAATCTGCCCTCTGTCTATAGTCAGAGATGTGCAAACTACATAAATTATTCTGGGTTTACTAAATTTACTAACGGTATTTCTATAACCCAGCACAAACATCAATACAATGATAGAAATTGTTGGCTCAGCCAGCTCTGCAGATGTTAGGGAGGCATCCTTTGTCTTCTACACCAGGCAACAAAATATTTTGCAATAGAGCTTGAAATGTGGGGGTTCCTGTAGCTCCTACAATCCCCAGCCACTGGCCATGCTAGTTGTGAATTCTGGTAGCTATATTCCATGATATTACTTTCCCAAGCTTTGGCCCTACATTGCCAATTGAAATCCTGAATCAGTGAGGGAAAGTTTTATTTTATATGAAAATGGAAGTAAATATTAAAATATTTTAACTATGATATAGTGGAACAAATAGGTTAAGACTGCTGACATAATCTCTTGATGTGTAGGGCAATCTAATCCCCGTGTTCCTACAAAAATAATTTCTTAAATAAAACATAGTATCATAGACATGCTGAGAAGACAGAGGTGATGATTACTGGTATGTTGGTGGTGATGAATTTAGTGAAAATGGCTTCTTTTCCCCAAGTGTTGGCAGGAATCAGGGAGACAGATGAGAAATACTACTACATCGTACAGGAAGAAAAAAACTACAGGGAAGCCCTCACTCATTGCCGGATTCGGGATGGGATCCTTGCCATGCCGAAAGATGAGGCCTCCAATGCTGTGATTGCTGACTACATCTCTAAGAGTGGCCTCTTCCGAGTCTTTATTGGGCTGAGTGACACAGAGGAGGAAGGCCAGTTTATATATGCTGACCGTACCCCTTTGCAGAACTATAACAACTGGAAGGAAGGAGAACCCCAGAATGTTACAGGGGAGGAGGACTGTGTGGAAATGCTGAGCACCGGGAAATGGAATGATACGGAGTGCCACCTCACTATGTACTTTGTCTGTGAGTTCCCAAAGAAGAGAAAGTAAGCACATGGGGGAACCAGCAGTGAACCATAGGTTCCCTTATTTTCTTCTGGTCAACCAAGCCAAACATCTAGGATGAAATCCCTACCACATTCCCTATGAGTGCTTCCTATGGTGTCTTCAGTGTCACCTAATGGTTTGAATTCTTTAAAAAAAGGGGGAGTGTTTGAAATGTAATGTATTTAGCTTGCTATTCACCACCCACCTCAAACAGCCTCTGGATCATAAATGAATCCATAAGAATCCCTGCAAAGTGAATACAGCAGGTGGTTGTAAATCAGGTGCTTCATTTTAAAGGTTATTTATGACCCACCAAGGGATTTTTAGGATCTTTTAACCCTGATTTCTTGGATGTTTTGTGACTAGATGCACCCATACAGCAGCTATATTAGAACTGAGCAAGCCTTTTGTGATAATGTTCACTACTCTTTTTGGATTGACACCCAACAGTCCCAAAATACTATGAAATTCTGGTCTAAGAGAAGAATGCATGGACATCATGTTAAGCAGTGGAGCTTTACTTCCAAGTGAGCCTTTTTACACCACAATTCAAGATGGGGGTTTATGGCTTCCCCCTAGGTCCTGCTTGTTAAATCTGCATTATCTTCACATAGAGAATTTTTTTTCTATTATGCTTTTTTGCTTCTTACAAAAGCTCAGCTCAAGTTCCATAAACCCAGATAGTTAAAAACAAGCCCCATCAAAGGTAATGCTAAACAGAGCCTACGACAGAATGAGGAAATGTCAACATGAACACAGCTCTTATCTGGCATAGCTACTCATAATATTTACATTAAAAACTTATACAAATTTACTTGGAGGCATGTCCCATTGATTTCAGTAGGATTTAACTTAAGGCTGCTACACATGCAGAAGAATGAAACAGTAGAGGAATGAAGTAGTGGAACAGACTGCACCATTTCAAATAACCAGCTGTCAAGGAAACATGTATGCTCCCATATTCCAATATAGATAGATTTATAGACAATACAGAAAGTACAAAACTGGCAAGGCCCAAGCAACTTGAATGGATTAAGTTTGCATGAATACAAAATAGATATCTTTACTATACTTTTCGAGTGCTACAGTTTAAAGTGACGTAGCCCATGCTACCATGTCAGAAGGTGATGGTGATTAATCGTTTTTTGCATTTAAATCCAGATGTTCAATGAGCTATCCAAGGTGCTGAACCCCATCCCACATGATAGATTCAGCAATATCAATAGTTCCTTTAAGTTCAGACTAAAACCCATATGTCGGACACAACTGGACTTAATGTCAGGGGGAAATCTTTACCTTTACCCTAAAACCCATACTAGATTCACCACTCCACTTGCATGAGACCCACCAGTCATGGCTTCTATGGCCTCATTCCAACCAAACATGTACATTTAACCTTACTTCCTGTTAAGTATATTTAAAATTGCTTGAGCAGTTGTTAGATGCACTTCTGATATGCCTGACTGAAAGGTGAATAAGATTATTTCCAGACATCCAACTCACATATGATGTACTATTAAGCACCAGCATGGTACAGTACTTAAAATTGTTTGATTGGGACTTAAGAAATCTGCTTTAACATTTCACTAAGGGTGTATACACACTGTTCAATGAACACAGTTTGACTCCACTTTAACTGACCTGTCTTAATGCAATAGAATTATGGAGTTACAATTTATAACAGTTTAACCTTTACTGCCAAAAAGTTCTGGTCCCTCATCAAACTAAAACTCCCAGGATTCCATAGCATTGAGCCATGGCAGTTAAAGTGGTGTCAAACTGAATTAATTCTACAGTGTAGATGCACCCCAGGCCATTGAAAGTATCAGATGGTCCCGAGTCACTCTTTTCCTCTCTTCCTTTTTCCTTTCTCTCTCTCTCTGCCTGACCTGCCTCACAATGTTGATGTTAGGGTCAAGTGGGAAGGTAGGAAACCAAGCATGTAACTTTGAGTTTATTTTGAAAAGGCACAATATAAATGTAATGAATAAATACATACCATATATTGACCAATCTCACAGGTCTGTTGTAAGACCCTTTTTCAACAAAGCACACTATGATATGAAATGTTATAAACAGTAAGCTATAATAAGAAAATTGAATGGCATTGACTTTTATTTTTAGAATTAACTCAGGAGAGTTAAGTCGATATTCTATTCATCATGTAAACATGTAATTTTTCTATTTCCTTTAAGTTGTTTTCCAAGACCTATTTAATTTGTATCAGCCTCAAGAAAAGAACTACAGAACTTGAACTGCAGGTGAGTTTGGGAGATAACCTTTGAGTCACCAGCTTCCTGGAATGTGTTCTTTGTATCTGGCATCTTGGTTCAGTTCAAATGACACCACAGGAAGAGGTGATGAAGATGGGAGTGATGCTGTGGATTACAGCAATTGCATCAACAAGCCATGCCCTAAAAGCCATGTATCATCCAGGTCTATTTGCTTTCTTATTAGTAATGTGTGGAATACCCAGAAGCAGAGAAAAGGAAGAGACAAATGAAGCCATCATCTGTAATATGCTGAGTTAGCTGAACATGCCTTTTGTTGTAGCTGGATCTGATGAATGTTTACACAGCAGTACATTACACTGGCTTCAACAGAACATACCCTCAAGTTAGTTGTGTTTAAGACTTCAGCCTTAAGCTACCTTCATAGCTCATATGATTAATATTGTTGCTGTGTGCCTTCAAATTGTTTTTAACTTATTGTGATGCTAAGGCACTTATTGTGATGCTATCACAGGGCTTTGTGAGGCCGAATGTGTGTGACTTGCCTAGGCTCATCCAATGGAATTCCATGGCCAAGAAGGGATTTGAATCCTGGTCTTCAAAGTTGTAATGCTCAAACCTTTATACTAGTGTTTCTCAATCTTCCTAATGCCACAACCCTTTCATACAGTTCCTCATGTTGTGGTGGGACCCCAACCATAAAATTATTTTTGTTACTACTTCATAACTGTAATTTTGCTACTGTTATGAATCATAATGTAAATATCTGATATGCAGGATGTATTTTCATTGTTACTTCTCTTTCTCCCTGTGATTTGGCCATGGAGGGGCCACTCTACCCCTCTCTAAGCCCTGTTCTCCCCCCCCCCCCCCAGGCCCCTTCTCCATCACATTCTCCCTTCTCACCTCCTCCTCTTCCTTCTTCCACTTCCCACTTGGCTCCAAAGCAAACCTCACCTATGTCGCTCCCTTCTCTTCCTCCTAAAATGATGGGGGGGGGGGGGCAGAGCGACGTCACCACCAACCTCCAGAGAAGAAGAGGCCACTGGAAAGCAAAGTGGGTGGGAAAAGGTTAGTGGTGACTCAGTTCCTAATATCATTGGAAATATGTATTTTCCAATAGTCTTAGGCAACCCCTGTGAAAGGGTCATTCAACCCCCAAAGGGGTCGCAACCCACAAGTTGAGAACCACTGCTCTACACTATGCTGAGACTGATAATAAATATTCTTCAGCCACAAAGAAGAGCCCATCTCTCCTCAAGAGAGCTGAACCAATGTAATCCATGGGTTCTTTCCCATGTTTCTTGATTTTAGAGTTTTTCCCCCATTTGTAACTTCTTTGTTTTCATAATGGAAGATAGATGGATAGCTTCATTTATTAATTTTAGTCCAAAAATCAGAGTGCAAAGGGATAAGGAGATTGTGGTATATGTTCTACCTCGACACATACATATACACAAAACAAAAATAAAGATTGAGAGGAATAAGGAATAACTGTAGTGTAATACAATGCTTCTCAGACTCTCTGATGTGGGAAATAGGTCATTGTTTTATTCCAGTGTGCTCAAGGATGAAAATTTGCATCCATTTATTATTAACAGCCATTTAGCAGAATTATTCAGTGACGATCATTATCAGTACTTGAAAGAGAAGCATTTGTAATGAAAATAAATGTTTGTCTCAATATTATATTACTAAAAGGATTTGTGACTTCTGGGAAGAGTGAAACAGAAACATTACATTATTTAGAAGAGGTGCCTTTGAAAGGTGTTTGCATAGGAAAATTGTGAAGAACCATTGTGATTTGGAAAACACCAGGCAATGTGAATTCCTTTTAAAGTCTAGTTTGACCTTTGCAGTATAAATTCCTGGATCCCTTAAGTCAGCATGACTCTGTGAAATTCTGGAAACTCCAGTCCACAAAAGTGATTTTTCTATGTTCTGGTATAAACCCCCTTTCAAAATCATAGAGAAGGAACATCCATCTGCACTAATCAGTATCTTTTAAAAATGACTTTAACTGTTTCTATCATAAAAAGACTCCTGGAAATTAGAATTGGAAATGTTGGGATTTTGCTATAGATCAATGCTGCAACCCCTTAATACAGTTCCTCATGTTGTGGTGACCCCCAACCATAACATTATTTTCATTGCTACTTCATAACTGTTGATTTTGTCATTTGGGAGTTGTAGTTGCTGGGATTTATAGTTAACCTACAATCAAAGAGCATTCTGAACTCCACCAACAATGGAATTGAACCAAGCTTGGCATATAGAACTCCCATGATCAACAGAAAATACTGGAAGGGAGTTGTAGTTTTGGAGTTGTAGTTCACCTACGTCCAGAGAGCACTGTGGACTTAAATGATGATCTGGACCAAAGTTGGCACAGATACTCAATATGCCCAAATATGAACAATGGTGGTGTTAGGGAAAAATAGACCTTGACATTTGGGAGCTGCAGTTGCTGGGATTCATAGTTTACCTACAATCAAAGAGCATTCTGAACCCCACAATGATAGAATTGGGCTAAACTTCCCACATAGAAGTCCCATGACCAATGGAAAATACTGTGTTTTCTGATGGTCTTTGGCAACCCCTCTGACACCCCCTCGCGATCCCCCAGGGGCCCCGACCCCCAGGTTGAGAAGCGCTGTTATAGTTCTTTATCTTGCATAAATACACCTGTACTTGCACACCCATACACATACCAATAATTTCTACATTATCATGGAAAGTGGGAATATCTCTTGATATTAAGCCTGTGACATTACTCTATCATTTGTCTCAGTTGTCTTTAGAGCTGTTCAGCAAAGTGGGGGTCATGCTGTGCAGTTTGCTCAGAATACTGTTTGGGTTTCCTCTTTTTTCAAACACTGCTGTGATAATCTAGTGCAAACAGACAAGCCTCTTGGTTTCTCACAGATCTTTGGTCCCAGTTAACCATACAGCTCCTCTTTCTGTGGCAATGGTGATGAAATACATTCAATTTGTGTTTACAGGACCCCTGTCAAGGCCATTGAATTTCAGCAGCTTTTCCAGTGGCAAAACAAACAGTGTGCATGCAAACTATTCAGTCTTGTTTACTATTTTACAGTGGAGCAAAATTAGGGGTAACACACAAAGATATGTATGCATGTCATATACAATCTATCTTCAATACATTACAGTGTACTAAAAATAAAAATTCCAAAACAATAAGTGAGAAGGCAACTAATAAATACATGATTGGTGAAGTCTATTCAGTACTCAGACAGTCCCCAAGTTACAAACGAGATATTTTTAGGTTTGTTCTTAAGTTGAATTTGTTTGTAAGTCGGAACATGTACATTGGCTAGCATAGGGAAGGGGTAACACCCTTGTGATGTTTATTTTGCTGTCTGTGCTCCTGTTCAGAAGATTCCACTTCACTCACTGTTCCTGCGATAATTGGATTTTAAAAAATGGCTTGTCATGGAAACAAGGATTGGTGATAAAGCTTCAGTGGAGACCCCCTTTCCTCATGGATTTACCTTCCGAGGGGTAGACATTTCCCATTTCCTGTTGTCTCACCCATTTGTAACTATGAGGTGTTTGTAAATCA